GAAAGCACAGTTTAAAGAATGGAGAAGAAAACTGCAAATTATAACTTGTATCAAGAATATTGAAGAGCTCAATAATAAAAAGACAACCTCATTTAAAAGTGGGTAAAGGATCTGAATAGTCAGTTCTACAAAGATATACTAATGGCCAATAAACACATGAAAAGGTGCTCAGTATTATAGGTTATCAGGAAAATGCAAGTGAAAACTGCAAGGAAATAGCACTTTCCACACACTCATTGTGGTTATAATTCAATAAACACATGAAAAGGTGCTCAGTATTATAGGTTATCAGGAAAATGCAAGTGAAAACTGCAAGGAAATAGCACTTTCCACACACTCATTGTGGTTATAATAAAAAAGTCAGATAATAATGGATAAAAAATTGTTGGCAAGGAAGTGGAGAGCTTGAACATTCATATACCACTGAATGCAAAATGCTGCTGCTTTGGGAAACAGTCTGGCTTAATCATGGAATTACCATATGACTCAGCAATCCCAGTGAATTACCTAGGAGAAATGAAAGCATGTCCAGACCAAAACTTGTCTGAATGTTTTGTGAATGTTCATAGCAGTGGTATTCACATTAGTCAGAAAGTAGTAACAACAGAAATGTCCATTAACTGAGGAATGGATATGCAAGGTGTGGTATGTCCATACAATGGAATATTGCTTGGCAATGAAGAGGAATGAAACACTTGTGTTCCACAACATGGGTGAACCTTGAAAACATGCTAAGTGCAAAAAATCCAGTCATGAAGGACCACAAAGGACCATATTGTGTGGTTCTGCTTGTATTAAATGTTCAGAATAGGCAAATCTGTGGGCAGATAATATAGATGAATGGTTGCCCAGGGTTGGGGGGTGGATAAGCAGCAATATCAAGGTGATGGCCATGTAGTGCAGAGTGTTTCTGTAGGGTAATGAAATGTTCTAAGATTGATCATGGTGATGGCTGCACAACTCTGTGAATATACTTAAAGCCTTCAAATTATACACTTTAAATGGATTAATTGCATATGTTAATTATATCTCAATAAAGTCATTTTTTTAAAAGGAGTGAATAAATAGTATGAGAAGCCAGACTTTTCTCTAAAGAAAGCTAATATAAGTTGTTTCTACAAAGCTCATTTTTCTTTTGTTATTGTTTAGGCATGTTACACACTCATTGTTCTTAATATATTAAAGACTCAAGGTAGATTAAAATGGTCTCATGTTAACTGGCTCCTTTATATATACACAAAATAAAATGTTAAAAAATGGCAATCAGAGGATTTTAGCCAAAGTGCACTTTGGTGAGCAAGGATGATTTAAGAACCCCCTGCATTTTCTCATTTTGAAAATGAAGATTTGGCTGTGATTATCTTTCCACTAAGCTTGGTGGGTTCTTCTCTGTGTAGTTTTATCATCACTTTGTCATTTATATGTTTAGTGTACCACCAGGTAATGGTCAAGCATTGTTAAACTGGCATCTTGAGTCTCTTTGCCCTTAATTCTGTAAGTCTTACAGAATACATGCTCTTTACATTAATACAGTGACACTATTACATCAAACCATACAGCCCAAAATAAGATGTGCTAAAATAGAAACAGTTTGCTGTTTTATCATCACTTTGTCATTTATATGTTTAGTGTACCACCAGGTAATGGTCAAGCATTGTTAAACTGGCATCTTGAGTCTCTTTGCCCTTAATTCTGTAAGTCTTACAGAATACATGCTCTTTACATTAATACAGTGACACTATTACATCAAACCATACAGCCCAAAATAAGATGTGCTAAAATAGAAACAGTTTGCCTTATGAGAAGAGAATGAGCATTTGACCACTTATTCAGGGAAATACATCATGCTTGATGTTTTACATGTACTATTAAATCCTCACATCCATTTTCTATTATGGATTTATTATTACCATTATTAATAGAGGAAACATCGGAACTTATGGAAGGAGAACATTTTGCTGAAGTCACAGAGTTACTTTTACGACTGGAGTTCTAAATTTCTTTCTCTCTACAAAACATGTTTTCTTTCTCTGCTGGTGTGTTTTATGCTTTTTGCCTGCTGTGGTGGAGCAGACAGCATCCCTTGGTGAGCCTGGCCACATTGTCTTTCTGGGTCAGCCAGATTTCAGAAATGAGAAAGCACTCTAACCCTTACCTACAAAACTTTTCAGAAATGGAGCATTTGACTTACACAGCCCATGGCCCCCACAGTGACATTTTGTTGTTATTTTTAAACAATTTCCTTAGAACTGCACTATTTCTTTCTCTCCTGTACAGCAATGGCAATGTTTTCAAAAGCATTCTAAAATTAGCAGCTGCCCTACATCCCTTAAACTACATCTCTTTTAACTGTTCTGTGAATGTAGGTTATTGCCAATATTATTTCTCTTCTGATTTTCTGTATTTACCCAGCTGATTATGAAATCTACACACCAATGAACAATTTCTCAGTGTCTTAAATGTTAGAGCAAATATCAGAATGGGGATTCTCCAGTGTTCTCAAGCTTTATGCAACACTCAACATGCCTCATGCATATTGGGGGTTGACCCTTTGGCTGCAGAGTTATCATCACGCAGTACACCCCACATTTATTATCAATGCTCCTCTTGCTTACTCCTAACTAAAGAATAGAATAAGCAAAGAATAAAGCAATGACATGATCCGCATGGGCATAGTAGGAAATAGGTGAAATGGAAAAATTAGGCTTAGACTTTAAAAGGCAGGGTTTTTGTTTTTTGTTTTTGGTAATATAAACAAAATTACTTTGCAGGAGCTATGAGGAAAAAGCAAGTAGGAAGTTAGAAGGGTGATAATTTTACAGTTTGAAGCCAATTTATATTTTCATTCTCCCTTTCTTAATGGGTTTTAATGCACTGCCCAGTCGAGACTTGAGTATAAATTAAATTGTGTGTAAAGGATAAGATTTTTCTACTTAAGTTTCGACCATGAAAATTTCAGATATTTTGCTATAAGGAACAACTAATTCTTTAGGGAAGGAGATTGGACTATTGATATATTGTCTCACTGTTTTTCTTTCAATATATGACAAGATAAAAAGGTTTAGGTCATCTCAGTAACAAAGCAATCATGAATACAGAATCATGCTGGGGAAATATTTTGTTTTTCAACTGATTATCTCCTTTGACACATTTACCACCGGCTCACACTGTTGAAGGAAAATCATACAATGTGTGGATTTATAGCTGTAACTTGAAAAAACTATCCACATTCCAAAAGTTGAAGATATGAGCATATTTTTTTTCCAGAATAATCACTAACTCCAGTGTTTGAGCTAAGATATTGGTCAGTCAGCTCTTTAACCATGAAATGATCTTCTGAAATGTGAGGGAAAAGAATTCTTGCTATTAATGGGTGCCTTTAGCTGAGAATAATATTGGAAAAGAAATTGTTCAGTAGAAGGTTAATGTCCAGTTCTCCAACACTGTATTTAGTTTATCTTGTTTTGTTTTCTTGGTGTCTTTTTAACAAGAAGTTATTTGGGTGGTTCAGTATATGGCCAAGTCCTTGTGTTTTAAAGCATTTCAATCCAGTTAGTTTGTCCATTCCTATCTTGTTAATCTACCCTTTGGCCCTTTTGCTTTTTGTTAGCCATAATCTCATTTCCAGAAAGTATAGGTGCAGAAGGAGAGATGGCAGCAGGACACGAACCTACACTAAGCTAAAGAAACACAGGTTTAAGGAAACCTGTAGACTTTATGACAAGCTACCCAGTTTTTCATTATTGCAGACAGCTGGCGACTGATTATGAGTCTATGAACTTCCTTCTTCACAAATCCCATCAGTTTCATCAACTGGTTACATTTTCCACCAGGATCTCCTCAGATCGTCTCAAATTTTAGTTCTAAAAAGGGATTCTGTTACCCTGTCTGTGCCAGCCCACATGTCCTTGCCCTGGTCTGCCCTGAAGGTCACCGAGGCCAGGGCGAAGTTCCGTTCACATTCCTGTCTGAAGATTCTGGTCTCCTCTGCAGTTAGGCCTGTGTGAAGAGGTAGGGGGTTAATCCCTCAGGAGCCACCCTTGACTGCTCTTGGCCTTGTCTCATAGTGGGGCACTTGTGAATTGTCTTACACAGCCTCTCAGAGGTCCTCAGCAGGACTGAGCCCCAATTGCCCACGTGAACACACCTGTGCTTGCTGTCCTTGTTTCTCTCTTACTTCTACTCCATCTTGTTTCCTGGATCACTTCCAAATAAACTATTTACATCCAAATCATTGTCTCTTTACATGAAATGGCCAGAAAAGGCAAATGTATAGAAACAGAACATAAGCAAGCGGTTGCGTAGGGCCAAATGTGGAAACAGGGATTAAGTACAAATGGGTATGAGAGATCTTTTAGGAAAGGTAAAAATATTCTAAATCTGATATGGTCAATACAGTTACTAAAAATCATCGAATTGTACACTGGAAATGGATGAATTTTATGATATGTTAAAATACACCTTAAGATGTTTTAAAAGTTTACCTTAATTCACATGCTTAGATGGTAAGATACAGAGAGGTTAAGTGCTCAGTGTTACACAATAAATATGTGTCAGATAAAGGAACAGAGGTTCAGGCCATTTGATTGCTCTGAGAAATAGCATTTATCTGTGGACCAATTATCTTTGCTTTAACTTGTTAAAAATTAAAGTACATGAGAAAAGGGAAAAGGCACAAGTCACACCAAGTATCAATCCATTTAAGATACTAATTATAATAATTATCCTTTATTTGGTGGTTATGATCTACCTAGACTATCTCAGCTTCACAATGGGCCATAATTGTTATCCCTTTCTTACACAGAAACAGAGCTTGAGAGGCTGAGTGACTTACCAACGGTCCCAGAATTCGTCTGAGGTTCTCTCAGAGTTCATCCACAGTGGCCGGACACCAGAATGCATGTTTGTAACAACCATATTACACAGCTTTTGCTGGTATTAAGACTTCTATCTCCTCCTACCATGCCAGCACTGACCAGAGAAAAGAGAATGCTCAGTACCTCGTTGTTGAGTTTGTTTATCTGCTGCTTGGTCTCCTCAGCTTTGATGAAAAGGACAGCAGTTCCAATCTCTGGGTCTGCAAAGTAACACACATGGAATGAGTCCTTCAGGAGTAAACCTCATGTTAGAGGACTGGGGGACTTGAAGAGGGAAGGAAGCCCAGGCTACTGCCTTCGACCTTTCCCGGTGTCTCTGCACCGTGGGTCTGTCACTCAGATGGGACAAGCTTCTGGTACTCCTCTGGATGGTGGCTGACATGCGCTTTACAACCGGGCACCATTGCTGTGATGAACGTGACCGCACGGACTGGATGTGCCCGTGCCATATCTCCCCTTCCCCTGAGCACTGTTCCAGGAGAGCATATTTCTCTTCTTTGACCATTCTCTAAACATATCATAGCTGGGGCCCACGTCATAGAAGACGGATGTTCTTTCTCTCTTCTCATTCCTTTCCAGATATTGATTCCTTTGGCCCTGAGAGCGTTTTCCTCCCACCTCTACCTCAGGTTCTACCCTCCACGGCAGGTTTCCATCTCCTCCTGTGTTTCTCTAAAAGGGAATTTCTCCCATTTCCTGTTTCTCTCATCTCCACTTTTTCTCTACCTTACTCTTCCAAATACATTAATTTCTGTCAGGGACAAAAGTGCAGATGAGTCACTACTAGCTGGAGTGGAAAAGATTATATATTACATAAATATTATATACACTTGTAAAATGATAGGACCATCCTAATATAGTATCTTAATTCTGGGTAGAAACCTGTTTGTAGGGGAAAATAGTCATTCAAAACAATCCACCAACATGGCAGAATAGTAAGAGCTCATTCTGTAGAGATCTTTTGCCAAATGAATCCATTAATTCAGTGAATAATGAGAGAGCATATATAATACGTCAGGCCTTCTTTAGTGGAGATGGCAACAAATAAAGAAAATATAATTGACCCTCATGGAGCTTACAGCTTTGCAGGGAAAAGTGACTTTAAAAAGCAATTATGCAACAGACTTGAATTTCATATTAAGGGCAAGAGGAGGCCATCTTAGGGTTTTAAGCAAAGAATTAGAGTAATAAAAAAAATTTGTGTTTTGGGAGAACAATGTGAGACCAGAGAAGAGGCTTTGGTAGCAAAGCAGGCAACATGTGGACGTGGCAAGGAAACAGGTGGTGGCAGAAAGGCTAGAAAGTCTTAGAACTAAGAGATACTTAGAAAATGCAGTTAAGAAAATTTGTTGCTTAAATGGATGGGTATAGGCTTGGATGTTGGGAAAAGAGAGAAGAGGAGGCTAAGGGGGTGATGGGATCAGAAATAGGTGGACAGGCATGGTGAGGTTCTGTGCATTGTTCCCAGGTTCAAGGGAGCCAATAGGGAAAACTTCCAATGCAGACCCACCAGCAGCTTCCATAACTAACACACCAGTTTGATTAGAACTATGATTTCGGTGCCTCTTGCCTCAAGCCAATAATATCCGCACATGTAAGTTCATTCAGTTGACACCTGCACTGTTCTCTTTGCCTTCCCCCTCTTGTGCTCTCCATCAGAGGGCCTTAAAAGGACAGTTCCGTTACTCTGAAGATGATGAGTGCCAGAAAGAAGGATGGTGACTGAGGTGAATACTAGTAACCAACCAGATGGAGACACACGTCCACAACCGTACATCCAACAGTCTTCCTTGGGCATGGCTGTGCCCATGGAGGGGTTTGCTGATCATCAGGAGATCCTGACACAAGGATCTGAGAGCTGGCTGGGCAACGGAGGAAAGATATTTGGAAAGGGATTGCTAGCCTTGCATCTGGTATTGCTGGTAATTTTGCATAGTCTATGCCGATTTAACACTTGTTCATTATTCTCTATTAATTATTCTACATACTTTAGAATTTATTTGTCTAAATAATTAAAATTTATTTTATTTATTTCTTGCTGGTCTTCATCATGTTGACAGATTCCTTTTTATGGGCACTGGATTCAAGAATGAACGGGAGAGGAGACTGGGCTAGGTCTGGAGGTACCCTTACATTAATGCACCATCACTGGGGGTGGTGATTCAGAGTTGTCCACCACTTCCAACATTCTCACGTCCTTCTGAAGTTGCTTATCCTCTGAAAAAGTGCAAGTACATAACCTCTCACCAAATAAGTTGGTTAAGTATAACCAATGTTCCTACAATGCACAGTTAACAGCATTTCCTCTGGATAACATTGTTTTTGAGGATTAGTCTGTATTTATAATAAGAAAGCGTGCTGACCCTCTGGTGAAGAGCAGAAATTTGAGTCTCCTGACATGTCATTTATCTGAGCTGGCAAATGGCAGGGCATCTAGTCTGGACAGAGAAACAATTGTAAACAATCTCTTAGTAACTCAGAGACGGCACAGATTCACGTCAAATTATTCCATGGCACTGGTAAAGTTCTATCACATGGGCAATATTCGGAGAATGGAGAAGCAAAGAAGTGCCTTTGGCAAACATTGTAAGGTAAAATAAGAAGCATCACCCTTTGAGAGAAGGCTCAAATATAGAGCTTACCTCCCAGAGGAGGAGAAACTCTGGACTCTGGTCTGATTCGTTCTGGGCCAAAGTCAAAAGTCTGGCTTTCTTCACTGCTGTTTCCATCTTCAATTCCATCAACAATCCTGTTTAAAATATAGGAAATTGTTTAGTTGTGCATTTATTTTTGTGTGTTCCATTATTTCTAGAAGACTTAAAAATATTGTGTTAAATTTCTCAATTCTAACTACACTAGAGCTGTGTTATCCAGTATGGTAGCCACTAGACTTACCTGGCTACTGATCACCCGAAATGTGGCTTGTGCAAACTGAGATGTTCTGTAGGTATAAAAGATGGGACTTGGAAGATTTTAGTAAGAAAAGTAAATGATTTCATTATTAACTTTTTATATCATCTCCATGTGAAATAATATTTGGGGGACACGGAGTCAAAATATATTATTAAAATTAATTTCAATTGTGTGTGGTATTTTTTTTTTACTTTTTAGAAGTGGAGCCACTAGGAAATTTAAAATTATATGTGTGACTTAAAATTTTAGCTCACGTTATTTATATTGGACAGCAATGCTATAGAATTTAGAATCTTATCCTCAGATTTAAAACCATAAGCTATAGAAGTCCTCTTATCTAAATTCATATTAAGTCACTATTTTACCCAGAGTTAAAATGTTTCAGTTTTAATTTTGTTTTTAATTTTTAAATTTTTTAAAATTTAAATATTATTTAATTTAATTTTAATTAAAGTGTTTTATTTTGAATGGTAATGATTTTATAGCATCACAGAAAATAACTTTGATGGCAACTTCTCTCTGGATTTAGGAAAACTTGATTAGAGTTAAAGAATTATATTTAATTTACTATTAGGACTCTAGTCGTCCTTTTTGCATAATGTCTAACCCATTCATTATTAAAAAAATATACAAGTCATTGTAGAAAACTTGAACATAAAGAGAACAAAAGTCATAACAAAAATCACATGTAATCCACCACTAATGTTAGCATTTTGATGTGTGCCCTCAAAATCTTTTTCCTATATATAAAAGAAAACATATTCTTATAAGTGTCATATTAATTGTACATATACTTTTATTTTTCCAATTCTGATACATTTTCCCCCTATTTAAAATGTTATTTTTCACTTTATTAAAAATTTAGGAAGGAGAAGAGTTAGCAAAGTTTACAAATTACCATTTCCAACTGAATTCCTGAACATTTAATGTCCACCTACTTTTTACTAACCTGTTTTGCTCATTTTTTCTTAATATTCGCTCTAAATAGATAAACTGTGGTCTTCAAATGAATAATTAAATATATTGTGTGTCAGAAAAGGTCACAATAGAAAAACAATTTGAATCCAGATTTCAGAACTTAATCTCTGAGATTTTGGACAAAATACTTAACCTTCAAGTTTTACTTCTTTTATATTTATAGTAGACATAGTATGAACTATTTTATAGGATTCCTGAGAAAACTAAAAGCAATAGTGAATGTGAAATTACTTAGCATAGTACACTGAACATAGGAAGCATTCATTTTATTCTTGTTTCTATTATTCAGCTATTATGTGGTTATTACTATTGCTCTTTTTGCACCATAATCTACTCCTTACACACTTTCTGAGTCAGAATTTTCACACTTACAATCACCTTTTGTTGATCTTAAAGTTAAATTTTAAAATAAAACATAGAGCTATGCCATGCTACTTATTCAAGAGGCCAGAAATAAAACTAAGCTTCAGTCATCCAAAATGATGGAAAATGAAAATCAACACTTCATTTCCTTCATAATTTCAACTCATTGCTCCACAAAACTTTTGGTAAGATTAGCCACTGAGGGGATAACATGGATGGGCTTTATTCTATCTCTTCTATTTTCATAAATTTATAAATCATAAAAATTACAATGTAGAAATATACACGTTTATAATGATAGGTAGAACTAAACGCAGGAAGGGAATAGAGAAAGAATTCTGAACATTGAGGTGGACCCTTTTGAGAATACGATTAAAACTATTCTCATACTGCATAGAGACAAAAATTACAGCAAAATTCAGGAAAGCTGAAGAACTTGGGCTAGGAACTTTGCAGTAGAAAGGCCCAGAAGGCTGAATAATTTACTACTTAGGTACTAGTTTGAATAAAAGGCAGCCATCTTGATCTGGGAAGAATTCTATGACCTTATTCTATTAAGAATTCTAGGAGAATTCTAATCACCTGGGGTGAATCCTTACCTGGGACTGAGGTCAGGGGGTGCAGTGCTATTCAAAGCTGAAAGTTGCAACTTCAAGTTCTTCTCTTTCTTTTTACTATGGTTAGGGGGGTCAATTTCCTGTTTGTTTTTTGGGGAGTTTGAGCTGGATACTCTGATAGGGGAGTGGAATGGCACTGTCCCCGAGGCCAGCTGCCTCAAGCTTAAGCCTAGATAGCTCTTACTGCTGCCACCCTTCTTGCTGCGCGAAGACGAGGATCCGCGTGTGCAGATGGGGGAGAAGGAGGCCGTCTCCTCATCCTCCCCTTCGTCGTCCTCTTCCTCATCTTCCACAATGGACGGGAGTTTTTTCTTGATGCTTCCGTTTCCCTTGGGTTCTGACTAAATTCGATAATTAGATTAGCATAGATTACAAAGACCGCTTGAGAGGTATATACTCCTTTAGAGACGGACTCCTCCCTAAAATTGAAGACTGCAGGTGGAGCTCTTACCTGTTCCGGTGTTCACAGTCTCCCCATTTCTGATCTTCCCCAGGTTTACCCTCTGCTTTCCTGTTCATCTGCCACCCCTTCCCTTGGTCTTTCAAACTCTCTTGGTGAGCTGTGTGAAAGGTGAATTTTACCAGCTTTGCATCTAGATTGTCATCAGTCGGTCACTTGTAATAGTACGTGATGGCATGCTCTTAGGAATGAAGGCATTTTCAGTATTACTGGGAGGTCTTGGCCTTTGCTATTTTACATTTACAGAGTCTTCAGTGGAATTCTGTGTGGAGATTGACCAGCAAAATTATATTATCCTTGAGAATACACATCTTTCCTCCTTTGGGAAAGATTCCTTCATATAGGGAAGATGAGCAGCAGCCTCCCCACCCCTGGGCCCCACTGCTCTGTTCCCTGAGCTTCCTGTTCTCACAGGTCAGGTGGCAGAAATGGGGCAGACTGTCTGATCTGCTCCCTTTGTAAAGCCTTGGGGAAGGGAGGATAGAGTCTTGCCAAACCCCATCGTAGGACTCTTGGCTGGAGTCGCTGAACCTTATAGGCCAAGAAGAAATGAAGAAGAAGTTGGGAAAGGTCGGTGGTGGTGATGATCGAGGGGCAGGCCAGAGAGGACAGCAAAGGCCCGGCCAGTGGCCAACAGAGATTCCATGAGTGTGTGTTTCTTACTCTGCACAAGATGTGGCTTCCCTGCTCTGAAAGACCAGTTCATTTTTGGGTGCCTTAGTTTCTTTTGAGGGTGCAACCACTTTGACCTGCTCATCAATAATTTCTAGTAAGAACAAGGTAACAAGGTGAAAAGATCTAGGAGTGCTATTTACACATCATGAGCTATCATGGTTATGCCTTCATCTTAATAAAGTTAGCTCATTGGTACATTTGGGTTTTACTGAAACCGCTTAATGACAGACATAACAAAAAAGAACTTGAACATGGGGTCACTTAAGGCAGTAATCCACCCAGTTTAAGCCATAGCTGCTAAGTGAAATGGTTGGTTTCCTCATGAAGTTTTGTTGTATTTAAATCTAAATGGCTCAAAATTTCTTGAGCAAATGGCATTATTAGACTCATCCTTCCAACCAGATAAGATTATTTTAGTTAATGAAGACATTAGTCCTTTATTGGAGTAGTCAAGGTTTTGCTTTTATCTATCTTAGTTTTTCATACCAATTAAAAATTATATGCTTTTAACAAGAGTTGGACCCACATGGAGCTGCTGGGGAGCATTTGTATACTAGTATTGTAGAACTGAAAAATTACCTCACCAAGCTAGAGACACATGGGGCAAATTTATCAAAGAAATAAAAAATACTGAGTGCATTCTCTGATTGGACTTTGTTGACACTTGCATTGGTAACTGAATCATTCCTTTGGTTTAAGGAGGGTCCACTAGCCCTGACACTATCCTCTGATAACTGTAGTGTTTGCGCTGCAACAAGGTTGTTGAAATGTCATAGTATTTTGTCATAGAGACTTGAGACTTGGCACCCTGCATAAGCTGCTTAGACTCTTTTGATCGAGGCAGATGACATTACTTACAACAAGATCTCTTCCTTTTCTTCTAACTCACCCATTCATTTTGTCATGACAAATGCTTCCATAAGGACAATGAGAATTTAATCCCCATCATCAAAGGAATCTTTAGTTTATCTCATAACATTTTGCTGGGATAGCCATTTCAAACTCACAAATGACTAGATTCAATCAAACTTGTCTTGACTAAAGGGAAAGAGGAATAAAGTCTGGTGGGGCTAAATACACGATTTGGTCACGAGATCCTAGAAGGCCTGACTTAATAGCTATAACCTTGGCCAAACAGCATTATTGTTTAAATTGTTGGTTTCCTCTCTTGCAAATTGGGGATGGTGTGAGGAATAAATTGGATATTATAAAATGGAAGTCAAACACTTTAGCAATATGCATTGAAAATGCTTAATAAATGTTTTCCCTTGTGATGATAATGATATGAAGAAAATGGACACAGCACTTACATCAGGGCAGATGCTACAGCATACTGATTACCTTTTTTATTACACAATTTCCACTTTCGTCTGAACAGTACTCTGAGTGATGCACCTTGCCCAGAGATCACCTTTCTTCAGCTTCCCTTGACACTCGGTTTGACAGTGAAGCTAAGCTCTGGGAAGACAGGATGTAAGTGGGCTGGGCAGAAGGAATTTTTGGAAGGCTCCTATCAAGCAGGGAGCCTCTCTCCTACTCCTTCACATTTCTTTAGTTTCCATTCTGGAATATTGGTGAAAGGGATGGCTCTCAAGTAGCCGTTGAGAGAATGAGGAGATCTTGAAGAAAGAAGCTGTAAGGTGAGGGTGATGAAGCAGAAAGAAGCAATCACAAGACCCTACTGGCACACTGCTACACTGCCCACCTCTGGCCTTGTCCATGAGAGAGAAATAAACATCAACTGTCTAAAAGCCCCTATTATTCTGGGAGTTTTGATATAACAAATGAGCTTCAGCTTACATTATAAAGAAGATTTTTTTTTTGAAAGTTAAGGGTGTTGTATTCTTGGGAAGGATGTTCATTTTCAGAGAGCTCGGAAGGGGTAAGGAATTCAGATCGGAAAACCCAAAGGCAGGCTAAATTTTTCTTCATGAGAGAGAATGTAGGAAAGGTGTGGGGGTTGAGGCACACTGAGGGCAGGCTGTCTAATGAGAATGGTTGAAACATATGACCATTTTGCTAGTTCCCGAGGAGGAATTTTATAGGGATTAGAGAGGAAAAGACTACTTTGTGCTGGAGAGAAACTAGGCTGAAAACAGTGAGATAGGTTAAGAACTTTTAAGTTTCTCAATAGTATTGGAAGTAAACCACTCCCTCACCACCCTGCCCAAGCCATCTTCAGTACATTATCAGTGTCTTTTTAGTGTGCTATGTAATTGTTTATTTGTGTGCCTCTGTATATATGAGTGTGTCTGTGTGTGAAAGTTGTAGTTCTGCTTTAAGAAGATTACAGAGCAAGAAAAGGAGCTCAATATATGTTCCTAGCACTGGATTACTGGCAATAAAAGTCTAGGTAATAAATCTGACGAGTCACCATTTCATGGAAAAGCTTTCTGTGAAATTGGAGAGGATTCTTAAAAGTTGGGACTGTCTTAAGAGTTCATGTGAAACCACTTCCAGAAAATCTCTGAGCCACATTCTTCACATTATGGATAATCATGTACTATCAGTTGGAGGCTTACAAGAAGACACTGACTTCTAATTTTAAATCAAAATACTTCTAAGATCAATACCTCAGGACTTTGCACTTTTGGCAGGTTTTGGTGCCAAACTCCTTTTCAACAATAATAACAAAAACTCTAAAATAGAGATAGGGGTTTCCAAACTTCTCTATTCCCAAACTCAGAAAGTCAGTCACCGCATCTCCCATTGGGAAGTGTATCAGGGAAAGTCAAAAACAAATACAAAAAACCCTCAAGGGGGACACAGACTTATTGGAAACCCTACAGATTTTAGATAAACATTTTGCTCTTTGGTAAAGCCTTACCTGTGAGACCATAGCTTTGTTCGATAATCTTGTTATCACCTGAAAGAACAAACAAACAGGCATTGTAAGAATCACTGAGACCTTCCCAGGTGGTTTGGTATTGGGTGAGATGTAGGAGGTGGGGGAAAGAGATGGAAATTCAGAGTGTGGGGCAACTGATTTACCTGGCAGAGAAGAAAATCTTCCTCCTGAAAGAAGCTGAGTACACCCCCCACATCCCACCCTCAAGGAGCTCTCCTGACCAGCATGTGTAACAAGAAACAGGAGCAGCAAATTGAATGTGTAGTATAGGATGCCACACCCGGGAAGTGATGATCACAATAATGGGCTTCTTGGATGTATTATCCATCTCGATGCTTCATTTGTTTCTCCTTTTATTTTCTATCTCCCTTATTTCCTTTTTCTGCCCTTTCACTAAATTTTCTCATCTTCCATGATTTTTCTCTCTGGCTCTGTGAAAACACAAATCCATGGAATCCTTTCTTATTTAATCCCATTTCCCTCTATTTATCCAGCTCACCTTCTTCCTTGTATATGGCAGGGGTGATGCCTCCTTTCTGTCTCACTTGTTTTACTCACTATGTTCTTCCTTGGGGACCAGGATTCATTTCACTGGGGAACTGCATCCCCTATTGAACTGAATTGAAAATCCCATTGATTGTAACAAAGAAAAAAATGCTGCCAATCCAATTCTGACATGCCATCAATTATAAGACAGAACCCCATTTCAGAGATGCTAAAATGTTAAAAACAGATGCGCATTGTAGAATCACTTAAGCTTGAATCTCAGGATACATATTGAATAAAATCAAACTATGGTATTGTGGAGAAATACATTAAAAAACATCCACCTTCCATAATGGACAAAGAAGCTCTAGAAATTACAAATCCTGCAAACATATTTCAGGTCTCATCCACATTGTGTTTTGCTTAAATATACTTCTTTCATTTGAAAGTGGTAATAGATGCTATAAATTCACATAATTTTATTCACATGAAAAAAAACCCTTCCACTTGAAAATGATCTGTCTAGGAAGTGAGACATATTTGGTAATTCTGTCACCCTCTCATTGTTGCTTTTTTTCCTTAGATGATTAAGGAAATAGATCTGTTATTATTTATACAAATGCCAGCATCATTATTGCTGTGCAAATATATGTTTCTTCAATGCTTAATTTTATCAAAGCAGTCAACCCATTCTACATCTGCTTGGTTGCCTAAATATGCATTAATCAGAAGCATTGTAGACATAAGTTTTGTAATAATTCCCTAAGTAGTGACAAATAAAACAGCTGAATAATTAAAAATGTGAAAAATAAAACAAAATTACAGTGCTGTTCCTACTGTGGTAGACACAAAAAGGGTTTTAAGAAGTCTTTCAGTTCTAACTTGGATGAGAGAAAAGAACATCCCAGTAGGATTCAGGATGACTGAACAGCTCCGGGTCAGAGATGCCCTCTGAGGCATGAGAGAAAGGCGCTGGCCTTAGTGTCTTCCCATTGAGGGGTCACTCCCAGCTCCCTGTTTTACTGCTAGTGTGAGTTCTGTCCAGTTGCTGAATCCCAAGGTTGATTTTCTATATCATTATGCTTAAACTTACTTGTGTATACAGATCACCTGGGCATCTTGCTAAAATGCAGATTCTGATTTAGGATATCTGAGGTGGGGCCTAAGTCTGCATTTCTAATGAGCTCCTGAGGAATTACTGATGCTGCTGGCCTATGGGGCACATGTTGCGTGTCAAGACCTCATAAGCAATGTCAATTATTATCATCCTATCACCTGTCAATTCATTCAGTATTCACTTTGTGATAAGCACCCTGACAAATGCTTCCCAGACATTATGTCCATTAATTTTCATTGCAGTCCCCAGAGGTGAGTACATATCATATAGCCAGCACTACTGTGATAAACTGTGTAAATGAAATGATTTTCATATAGTATTAATCATATGCACTGAAAAAGAGTACTATAATATAGTCATTCTGTTGCGTAAGGCTTCATACAGATCCAATTCTGACAAGCGCAAAGAATATTCTCTTAATGGAAACCCCCAGTACTTTAAAGCTAGAAGTTACCTTAAAGAGTGGCTGCTACGTGGTTTGCACACCTGGCAGATAACAGAATGTGTTAGAAGCCTTCCTAAGCCAGATTCCAGAGAGCCAACTCAGGAATCTCTTTCAGTTGTTGGTGGGTGGCCCGGGTCTCCCAGTCAGGCCTGAAGCCACTGAGTTAGTCCCAGTCCCTAACTGGAGGTGTGGAAAGTGTGGCCCAGGAAGACGAAATCATTTGCCCAATTCTCAAATCAGGAAACTACTGCAAGCCATTGTTCCTCAGTGTTCCTTACATGGATCCTGTTTTCTCAGGTACTTCTTCCTTCAGTTACTGCTGGTGCTTGGGCTGAAAGGCCTGGTACATTGTAGAATTTGACTGGAACAGGGTTGGATGATTGCCACAAAGCCGACCCCAGAAAACTCCCGATACCAAGCATTTTCCTTTTCTGAATCACTGATCTTTCTGGAAACCTGATGAATTCTAGGCAGTCTCTTCCCTCTCAAAAAAAAAGAGAAAAGCCTGAATACAAACTTTGGATGGAAGATGTTTAGTGATCCAATTTTCTTATTCAAACAACTGGAAGACTCAAAGGTGTGGGAAGTTTTGAGGAAGGCAGTCTTACCCAGGTTTGAGTCCCTCCCATGTGAAATGTGTATGTATTTTAGACAATAGGAAAATCTGGGGATAATTAAAAATAAAAGATAGAGGTAACAGAGATTCAGAAGACAAAAGGGAAGTAAATCAGACATAAGAGAAGGAACGGGGGTGGCTCAATAAAGTCTTGAGAGGGATAAAGTGCCCAAGAAGGGTCACCCACTCAGACCTCCGCATGTAACCTGCAGTTTGTCAGGGTGGAAGAAGCCACAGGTGGACGAAAAGGACTGAGGGTAGCACAAGATTATCACGGGTAGAGGTACAGTTTTATAACCTTGTAGATAGGAAAGAAATAGCTCTGGTGAGTTGGTTTGAAATGTTTATCCATAGCTTTCCTCCTTGTCCCCATCCTGACCACCTGAATCACTCTATACCTCGGAGTCCAGTGGGAACTGAGAGGGGGAAGCCTTACTTTGAGAAAATACTGCTCATTGGCAAGGAGAAGAGGAAAAAGGTCTCTTAGTGCTCATAAAATCTGCCACCTAAAAGCAAAACAAATTCACAGTCTTTTTCTTAAACTGTGGAAAGACCTCAAAATTCTGCTATTGAGCTTGCATTGCAGGTGGAAATAGAACATACCAAAATTGAAAGTAATTTTAGATGTGAAAAATGCCCTTGTATTCTACTGTTGTCTATTTTGCTGAATGGAGACGTTTCCATAAGAGCTTTCATGGGTTCATTACATGCCCTGCAACTCCTTAATAGTAAATTTCCCCCAGTATTAGGACTTTCATGAATTCTTTTAGTTGGGAAGGGAGCTCTTTGATTTCTTTCTTCTATTTCCCCCACCCACTAAAATGCCTCTGAATTCTGACAGATAGTACTAAGACAGTGAGGTCTGGGGCTCTACCATTCATGGGATGCTAATGCCCCACCTTTAGAAGAAATGTGAGTTATTTTTCAGTGGTGGTGAGGCATTATCAATAATCCTTACTTTCAAGCTCTTTTCAAGGGGCTGAACCACCAAGAAGTTGACTTTTACAAAGGAGGAAGGAAGCAAATATGAATGAAACCCACCACTGGAGAACCCTCAGCTGTAACCTAGGAGTCCACAGCTATAACCAGTGGGCCAGAGGCCCAGGGAAGGCAGGAGACCTATTTTCAGTGTTTAATGGTCTACAGATGTAAGTTATAAGCCTCTGTGTGAGTCTGCAAATGTCCTGTCAACCAGGGAACCTCATGAGACACAGAAGTGCTCCCATAGGAATGTTATCTGCAGCTGACCACTCAGCTGGGAAATGAGAATGACAAGACTCTTTTTTCTGACTGATTCATAATATCCTCTACTTTGTTAACTGTGCCACACTGATTAAGTCACAAAGCAGATTGAAGGAACATGTGTACTCATTCAGAAAAAGGGAAGGGATGATGAGCACGTATTGTATCTTGCTTACTGGAGCAACATTACCTGTATCAGCGGCTGTTTGGGATAAAGAGAATATGAATGAGGGGTGCTCACAAATAACCCCATGACTCACCTAGTTAAAATGTGCCCTCTTACAAAACCACAAGTAATTGTCATGTAGTAGAGGCAAGCAGCAAATCTATAGGCCTCACTTTCATTTCTGATCCACTTCTTTCTCTTGTAGTGGAGATGCCACTAAAGAGTGAATGATACCAATTGGTGGTGGCAGGTGGGAAGAGAAATTGGAAACTTCTGGAGAAAGGATAAGCATTCAATAAGTGAGCATTCACTCTCAGCTACACAAGTCTGGGAGTTCACCACCATCTGATCCAAAGAAGAGATTTTTGAGGCAGGTCTGAAGCCCTAAGTGGGTAATAAGTGTTTATTTTGTTTCCTCACTGGTTGTCTAACTTAGACACAGAAATGAGATTTTAATGAAAAAAACTGATAACTTTGATATTTCCCTATTTCACCCTGAGCCTTGAGGTCAAGACAAAAGATGAAGACTTAGAGGAGAATTCCCTTCCCTTAGGGAAATACTATGACTCCTGATGCAGAAGGAACAAGTCAAGGAGTCGCTTCTTGAATTGAGTCTTTATTCACTGCTAGAGCCAGAGAATCAGCCACTGAGGCCATGGTGTAGGGAGCACCACACAAAATCTTCATCCATGTACATTATGATGAATGGATGGAACCCATTTAGGAGATAGTGCAGCACAGTGATTAGGACCTGGGATTTTCCTAGTCTTGTCACTTATTATCTGTGTAACCTTGGGAAGCATATTAATGTGTACAAGGGCAGGTGACAGGTGAAAAATTATGTGCAAAATTTCAATGGCTTAACACAAAAGAATTTTATTTCTCACTCTTCTCAAAAGAGGATGATATCTAAAGTCACTCTGAAAAGTAAATGAGGTATATATAT